CGTCGCGGACGCCGAGACCGCGTCAGACGTCGTCGCGGACGCCGAAACCGTGTCAGATGGCATCGCGGACGCTGAGACCGTGACGAACGTCGTCGCGGATGCTGGGTTAGGTCAAAACAAGAAAAAAAGAAATAGAAGTGCTGCCAAAAGGTTAGTGGTGGCAACACAGCGCCGCGCAGAGGCAGCGCGCCATGCAGAGGCAGCGGCGCAGGTCGTGGACTTCGACGGCGCAGTCGACAACGTACCTACCGATCCGGTAAGCGATCGCGAAGTCGGAGCTTCCGCGCGTAGACGGCGCGCTCAGCAGTGGGTTGACGACGAGAGCGGAGACGAAGCTGCAGGAGTAGAGGGCGCGTTACTCGCGCGATCCTCGTTGACTTCGCTCGCGCGATCCTCGCTGACTCCGCTCACGCGATCCTCGTTGACCCCGCTCGCAAGTAGTCCTCCCGCGTCGGATCCTCCTGTCGGCTCGCGTCGTGTTCTACGCAGTGCGTCGGTACGAACTGGGGTCATACGTGCGGAGAGAGATAGTGTGACGGGCTCACCTGTTCCTGTTCTCGGAAAGGTAAGTATTTGCTTGTTGCCGCGATATCTTATCTGACGTGTCCACATACAGCGTAAGCTTGTGCCGTATGTGGAGATCATATCACAGCGGGCTGGAACTCGGGGTGCGAGAGCTGTCAATCGGAGTGGGCCCAAGGACGGAACGGTAAGTGCAATGTTATTGATTTCTATTGTGTATTTGATGTATCTCTGTTCTAGTCAAATGCTGAGGCTCTGAAGAGAGCAGTGTTAGCTATGGCAGCAGTCAAGAAGGATGCGCTTCAGGCCAAGCAGAATGACGATCTTCCTCCTCGTCAGCGTCGAGTAAGTGCTACTTCTGTGTTCTTATTGATGTCATGACTCAGACCATCTTAGCGGTGGAATGCGGAGGCAAAGGCTGCGGCAGCGGTTGAGAAGCGTCTGCGGCCAGCCAGAGTGGACTTCAAAGCCAAGAAGATTTTGCATGGTAACTTGAGGCGTAGATGGCACAAGGAACACTTCCCTCAGCAGAACGAGGTTGTGACCATGGGCAAGCGGTCACCCAAATTGAGGTGTTGCCAGAACATTTGTCTGAAAAGTGAGTCTTGTACTTTCAGTGTCATTCTCAGATCTAACACAATATTATAGGAAAAAGCAGGCTCATTGCAGCCAAAGAACTTGCTCACTGTCTTACTATAGCTTCCTTTCATGTGGGGGTGAGTGTTCAGTTAGTGTCTGACTTGGTAAAGTTCTTATCAATTTATAGCAAAAGACAACAAGTCGGCAATTGTGGTCTCACTGGGGATGCTTGAAGCAGGGTCAACTGCACTTCCATCGGCGTGTGGATGAGAACGACAGAGTCCATGTGTCAGGTTTGGGGGGCTTCAATCGTCTTGCTGACAAGCAGAAGGAGGTGATCACTGCTACAATTGTTGCAGCAGATCAACCTGGCCCTCCTCCTCCTGATCCTAAGTCAGCAGCAGGAATTGCGCGCAAGGCCAAAAAAGCGAAGGCGCGGCGGGAAAGCAAGCAGAAGCGTTCTGACTTGGCCAAACTGGGGGAGTGTCTTGCCACAGTGCAAAGGAGACTGGGCAAGAAAACCTTTGTGAGTGATTCAATTTAACTCATTTCAATCTGACTGACTTAGTTAATAAATTTTAGGCAAACATTCTGCCTAGTTAGATATGTGGTGTGGATGTTCCAAGTCTGCTGATATGTGATTGCTAGTGTGTTAGAAAATAGGGATTCACTTGTAATGAGCTTTAATACTTTCTTCTATATATATAACATTAATGTGTCGATCTGTGTGAAACAATACCAAGAAAAGAGGAAGTCGTATATAACTGGGCTGTTGGAGCAACAGAGAAACAGATGGCAAGCATGCATCAGAATGCCGGTGCAATGGTGCGGTGGGCATGTTTGTCCACGGGCAAAGCGATGCCCATACGGGACAATTGCGTCACTGATCTGTTCGCCTGTTGCTCCAATATAGATCAGATTAAAAGG